AGGAGCCCCGCACAGCCAGGAGCAGGGCCAACCAGGGCACACAGCCAGGGGGGCTGGCCAGCTGGGGACCCCGCAGAGGCTCTGGGAGTATGAACAGGGCCCCAGGCTGGGTAAGCCCAGGGTTCTGGCTCTGCTGGTGCCACCACCTGGGATGGGCAGCCCGCCTGTGGCACAGACTCTGGAGGTGGCTGGGAGGGCCCCTGACTGGGGATCCAGGATCAGAACTCCCTCTGCAGCCATTAGTGGTAGGTCCTGGGTGAGAAATCTGACCCACAGCTCACAACAGACGGCACCGGGAGAGGGTAGAAGACTGGCCAAGATGGATGGTTGGATGGATAAGTGAATGAAAGGGTGAGTGAATGGAAGGATGAAGGAATGAGAGTGAATGAATAAGTGAATGAGTGAGTAAATGGATAGATGGATGGATGGATGGATGGATGGATGGATGGATGGATGGATGGATGGATGGATGGATGGATGGATGGATGGATGGATGGATGGATGGATGGATGGATGGATGGATGAGTGAGTGAGTGAATGGATGAATGGGTGAATAGGTGGATGAGGGAGTGAGTGGATGCATGAAGAAATGAGTGAGTGAATGGATGAAGGAATGAGTGAGTGAGTGAATGGATGGGTGAATGGATGAATGAGGAAGTGAGTGGATGCATGAAGAAATGAGTGAGTGAGGGAGTGAATGGATGAAGGAATGAGTGAGTGAATGGATGGATGAGTGAGTGGGTGAATGGATGAGTGAATGAATGATACATGAGGACAGTTCTTCCTTCCAGTGCAGTGGTGTTGTTCAGAGGAGAAAATCAATTGATCAATGCAGGTGAGAAATGGAATGTGCTCATAGGCTAAAGCAGTGGTTCTCAACCTTCTGGCCCTTTAAATACAGTTCCTCATGTTGTGACCCAACCATAAAATTATTTTCGTTGCTACTTCATAACTGTAATGTTGCTACTGTTATGAATCGTCATGTAAATATCTGATATGCAGGATGGTCTTCGGCGACCCCTGTGAAAGGATTGTTTGACTGCCAAAAAGGTCGCTACCCACAGGTTGAGAACCGCTGGGCTAAAGTCTCTCCCCAAACACGCTCAACTACATGCCGCCTCCTACATCTCCCCCTTTTTTTCTTTTTAAGCTACTATAATAAAAGTAAACTTGAACATGACTCTGACCATTAAAACAATAACAAAACAACGCTAAAACAACACAGTAATAAGAGAGAAATCAAACTACAGGCATGTTTAACATTTTTAACACTTGAACATCAAGAACAAAACTCTATTAAAACAATAACACACAATGCCAATGTGACACAGTGATAAGAGAGAAATCAAACTACAGATGTGTTCACATTTTCAGCTACTAAATAAAAGTTTCTCTTGCTGCTGGTGTATATTTACTCACAGTCCTTGGACTTGGCTACACAAGACTTTACAGAAGACGGGCAGCTCACCAAGGCTAGTCAGCACCTCGGTCCCTTGCGTAGTCCTTGTTGTCTTTTTCCGCATCGCTATCATTGGGGCAACTCTGAACAAAGGGACAAGGAGCTTCTCTGGGTCCTGTGCACCCCCTCCAGCCGCCGGTGCCACTTCTCTGTCTCCTCGAGGAGGAGGCCCCACAGCTGCTGCAGGTCGGCGAGCCTCTGTGGGATGGCCTCAGCATTCAGGCTGCTGCTGTCAATGACGATGCTCTGGCTCCTCTTGAAGATGTCGTGGATGCAAAGATGTCGATGCGAGGCTGGTGCTGTCAGATTTCCTTCTGGAGGGTCTGACTTTTCTTTATAGTCCTCAGATTTGGACAGTCTGAACTTCCCATGTTTTACACCAAACTTCGCTCCTTTCCTTACTTTTTGCTTTCTGCTCGTGCTTCACTGGAGCGTCCTTTCACCTTGCAATTGCAGTTCCCCTGTACTCAGGCCCCACATTGGGCGCCACATGTGCCGCACCAGCACGGCCAAGGGCGAACCCGAGGAGGGGTGGTGAAGGATCGAAGAAAAGACAGACAAGAGAATACAGCTGGGGCTCGGTGGATCTCCCGTGCCTGGATGAGGACACAAAAGACCCAGCCTGCAAGCTAATGCTTTATGTTATAGTATCATTAAAACAAGGATAGATTAACACATATACAAATGTTCTTGTCTTGGCAACACTTGCTGCACCTCCCACAGCCCATTCGACACTTAGGAAGGAATTAGGGAGGGCTACAAGGTCAGGCTTAATTATGCTACTAGAGCTTTGTCCTCCAGGCTGGGACTTGTTTGTGGTCCTGCCACAGGTCAGCCCGAGGCTTGACCCTAGAGCTGCTCCCTATAGCTTCCAAGTCTGTGAGTCATGTGATGTGCAGACATGACCACAGTCCCAGTCCCAGCCCCAGAAGGTGCCTGAGGGCCCATCCTACAATTGAGCAGCTGAGCTGAGGGCCCGGGGTGGCAGGTGGGGGGCAAGAGCGTCCTGGGCCAGGTTCCTCACACGCTGCGTCAGGATGGGGGAGGTCAGGCACCTCAGGAGCCCGGTTGGGAGACGCGAGTGGTGCCGAAGTGTGATGACCCACATCCTGCATGGTTCAGGGTTCAGGATCTGGAGAAGGGCCGCGCACAAATGACAGAGAGAAGACGAGAAATAATAATTTGGAAATATTGGGAGCCAGGTGGGAAGCCCAATCCAAGGGGATGGACTTCCACTCGTGCTCAGGCCTTGCCAACCTTCTTTTCAGTTTTGAATACAAATCTAGCTCTTAGTCAGGCAGGTAATTTTGGTAACAGACAGACTATATTAAAGGTCAGGAAATATTAGAAAGATTTTCTCTGAGACTATTTGGTCAGGAAATTGCTTGAGCCCCCACTGTCTGCACTAAACAATCCGTGCATAGCTCTGGCCCTGCCAGGGCTCCAGGTTCACCGTGTTCCGGGCTCTTGATTACCCTCCTCTGATAGTGAAGACAATGGATGGCTTCCTACACCAAAGCCCCCGGCACAGCAGGTGGTGTCCTCCTCAGCCAGGTGCGGGCTGGCCTCCAGGGGTGGGGCCCGCAGCTTCCCTGACCACGTATGTCGTCTTTGGGGGCCTGGCCGCTGCCCCCAGCCTCGCGGGGCTGGCTCAGGCATCTGCATCCCGCAGCCATGTGTCAGCTGGCGGTCGCTCTGAGGGAACAGGGATGCTGGCTCCTCCAGGGGCTCTGCGGTGACGTCTGGCTGGACCCGGGAGGCCTGCAGGTCCCGACGCCTGTTCCTTTCTGCCGGCTCCCCTGTCCCCTGCGAGGGAAACTTGGCGTGAAGACCAGGGGCCGCTCCCGCCTGGTCCGGGATGCTGGGGGTCAGCCACCCCCAAGGGCAGGAGCGGGGCCTCCATCCCCGACGTAGCACACCGTCCACGGAGGACGCAGCCCCGCAGGGACCTGCTCCCGGCCATCTCCCGCCCCCCAGCCAGCAGCCTCACCGGGAGGGTACGGACAAGCAGCAATCTCCAAGGTATGCTTTGGGCAAGTTCTGCAAAACAGAGACGGCCCGGTCAGGAAGGGGCCGTCCGGCCGGGGACCAGGGGGCCTGCTGCTCACGGGGAACCTCCCAGAGACCGACCCGCTGAGAGGCAGCAAGACCCAAGCACGGGATCCTGGTTGGGCCTGTCCCAGGGCCGGGAGACGGGGAAGGACTTGGGCCCCTGCCACCTCCCCTGCTGCCAGCCCGGCCCCACCTCAGCCCCGTGGACCATCCACAGGGAGGGCTGAGCCCCCACAGGGGAGCGGCTGCCAGGAGCCGGGAGGAGGGACCCGCCCGCTGCTCAGAGCCTGGGCCCTGGGCCGGGCACCTCCCGGGT